TATAGAAAATCATAGTAATAATTTTTTTAATACTTCCTATGTAAAAACCATTGCTCATGTTATATTTTAAAATAGCATGAATAAATATTTAAAAGACAGCAGCTTTCTACAATTCCTATTAATAGAGTTAATGATTACTTTACAGGTAAAAATTTTGATTGCAAAATAAAGGCAGATTATATACCATGATTTTTCCAGTAGTGTGATTTATACGAGTATAAAGTTTCTTTCTTTCTTAACACATTACTATAGTTAAATAAGAAGCTATGTTGTCATTTACCCAAAGCATCATCATGAGAACAGATTAGAAGTTACAGATCTTCCACGCTCCCTCATAAAAACACTTCCTCACTTCACGGCTGAGAGATACACTCCTCTTTAGCTGAGTAGGGGACTTATTTCCCAATATACATTTCAAAATACGCATTAAGAAAAAGAAAACTACAAATCTGACTACAGCTTTTTGCTATCCGTGCTTTTTAAGAACTCCAGCACAGTCTAGGTACTGTTTTCACACTGCTTTTTGAAGTTCATTGTGACTTGCACACGTTCTTTACACTCATTTAAATCTTTGACAGGAAGACATTTAAACATTTGTACTTAACTTGGGTGGGATTTTTGGTATTTTGGGGTTTTTTTTGGTGTCCACTGATGGAGAGAAAACTGCAGAAATGATGGCAAAATGTATACACTAACTTCTCAGTAATTCAGAAGTGACATAATAAAGAAATATATAATTGACATTCTTTAGCAGCAAATAAATATGACTCTATATATACACTGACAGAAAAATACATTAATACTCAGTTCCCAAAAGCACAGTTTGCAAGGAAATCTACTTAAAATCACCTCATCTGGAGCATCAGAAATGATGCAGGAACACTGTTAGTCTACAGTACACTCACTGCTTAAACATATCAATGCTAGTTTTAACTTCACGTAGCTGTAGTGCTACTGGGACTGGAGCTGTCAAGGAAAGAACCCATCAAGAGTTGCCACAATCTGGCTGAGAAACACCATGGAATCCCAGAATAGTTTGGGTTGGAAGGGATCTGTAACGGCCACTTAGTCCAACCCCCCTGCAATCAGCCAGCACATCTTCAACTAGATATGGGTGCTCAGAGCTCTGTCCAGCCTGGGTTTGAATGTTCCCAGGGATGGGCATACACAGCTTTCAGGAGTGGGGTAAATCCTTAGGGACATAGCCCTCATCCAAGCTCTGCATTATCTGTATGAGTACTAACCAAATCTGTTAGAAACTAGCCGTAGTGAACAGCAAATATTGCTCTTTTATAGTAGTATTTCTTTATATTAGTACTCTACAGTAGTACTTTCTTTATTGAAAGTATTCCAGATTCAGTCATATGAACCCATAATGAATTTTCAAAACATACTTTAAATTAATTAGCCAATAAATTGCATGTAATTAGAGTCTGGATAACTTCTGGTCAGCAGTGCACACTATGGATGAAACCTGACTTCACTTATCAACTCTTTGTTTAACTGAACAGCATCCGAGGATGTGTGTGACACCAGGCATTGCCAAACACAGTAAAGAAAACTCTGCAAAGAAAGTAGAGCTTTTCAGAACTCAAAAACCAGCCATTGGTTCTCCCTTACTCCACTGCAACATCAAATATGCCAGTGAATTCCCACTTCAGTGAGCTCAGAATGTCTACGTTACAATCTGAAATCCCACTGCCATTAATTTACAGTCAACTCTTCAAATTACTCTGTTCCAATGAAATCTGCACCAGGGACTAGCTACCTGTTATATATAAAATCTTGACCATGTTTCCCCTAAAAATTCTGTTTGCAGCCATTTCACTGAGAGGGGAAAGACCAGGACCCAAGAAGGCTCAATCTTACTGTCTGGTCACCAAGAAATAGACAAGGCTATTTCACAGATTTTCAGAAAAACAGATGCTCCTTCAAATAGCTTTTCTACTGGCCCTGAATTAGATCCCTTTGCAGTGACATCTCAAGAGTTAAACAAAGAGTTTAGAGTTTATTTCTGCCTATTAGATTTTTATAAATAAACCACTGAACAATTAAATGAGATACAAATTTTTAAAACAGAAATATAGAGTCTAAGAACATTCATGTGGATGGGTGCCCAAGAACAGATACAATTCCTTTCATATAAGGATGAATTCAGGACAGCACTACTAAGTAGTTAAAAAATAAATTAAACAGGTGCTACCATAGAATTGCTAAAGAAATACCTGAATAAAGACTCATCTTCTCAGCTTCCAGTCCCTGATAAAATTCCAGCCTAAGATTTGGAACAAGCATTTACAAACACAAATAATCAAAGTAAAAAGTGGCCTCAATATGAGTAGTCTGGAAATTGCATGAGCTTGAATGCCTGTGGGCATGGCTGACATCACTGTATTCATCTAAGAACAAAACTGACAATTACTGTATGTCTGCCAATTTATTAATATAATTATTTCTATACAAATAAAGATATTTTTCTTCTTCATAGTAACAATTCAGTGTTTCAAAACAGGCAGATCAATGTATTACAAATACCACTACTGTTAGAATACATGTACTAAAATCACAGGAGGTAGAGTTAAATCCCCATTAACAATTACTTGAGAAAACACAAACTATTTTTAAAATTAGTAGAATATGTCATTCATGAAAACTTACTTTTCAGAATAACTCATTCCTAGCTGCTTTAAGGGATGTGTTTTTTAAGCATGATAAAGAATGTATGACAAAAATATGTTCTCTTTCAGTTTTGAACAAAACTTTGCAAAAAGCACATAAGAAAGCTCCCAAGTGGTAAAGATTTCCGACAAACTGGAAAAAAGCAACATTTTAAATTACTGAAATTACTAAAGTTATCATTAATTTGACCACATCTTTTACCTTATGATTACATTTGAAAATTCATTCAACTAACTATGGTTTAAAAATATGCCTACACTAATGAAATAATGTGAAGCTTTTTTACACTGTTAATAATTGGCATTTTTGAATGGCAAAGTATTCTTTTTGCAACAACTTACTGCAAAATACAGGCACCTTAAAAACTGATATATAATGCAACCAGGGTCTTCAGGATATTAGAAGTGTTTACCACTACCTAGTCATGCTATGTATTTCCCTTCTTTTCAAGAAATACTTACAGTTTGAAGCCGTGCCTGAGGTGCGTGCAAATTATGTTTCAGTATCTAACTCCATTTTCATAGTATGTTTCTTTTACAGTTACAAAAACACTAGTGTGCCAAGATTTTTAATCATTACATCTGTAAAGATCTTAAGCAGACACTGTATCTTCAATAATGTATTCTTACTATTGCACATATGCTCATATGACAGTGACACTCAGGTCCATATTCAATTTTTCAACTATTTACACATGCTAAAATCATGTATCGGCATATTATGTTGGAAAAGAAAAATTACAGCCTTTCTTGACCAACACGTATCACTCCAAAATTTATGCCAAAAAAATTCCATGGAATCATGAGTACCAGGATGGAAGGAACTTCAAGGATTATCTGTTGACACCAAGCTGTGTGGTGCAGTCAATATTGAAGGGAAGAGGACCTGGACCTTGAGAGGTGGGTCTGTGCAAAGCCAAGAGCAAGGTCTTATACCTGGGTCATTGCAATCCCAGGCACAGCTTATACATTGGGCAGAGAACAAACTGAGAGCAGCCCTGCCCAGAAGGGCTTGAGGGTGCTGTGGGTGAGAGGCTGGACATGCCCTGGCCATGGCACTCCCAGCCCAGAGAGCCAAACGTGTCCTGGGCTGCATCCAGAGCCCCGTGGGCAGCAGGGCAGGGAGGGGATTCTGCCCCTGTGCTCTGCTCTGCTGAGACCCACCTGGAGCACTGCATCCAGAGCTGGGGTCCCTGCACAGGAGGGACAGGGACCTGCTGGAGTGAGACCAGAGGAGGGACACAAAGAGGGTCACAGATCTGGAGCAGCTCTCCTATGAAGACAGGCCGAGAATTAGGGTTATTCAGCCTGGAGAAGGGAAGGTTATATGGAGACCTCACAGGAACCTTCCAGTGTCTGAAGGTGCCTACAGGGAAGCTGGAGAGGGACTCTTCATCAGGAGGTGTAGTGATAGGACAAGGGAAAATGGGTGAAAATTGGAAAAGGCAAGATTTAGATTACATATCTTAAGAAATTCTTTATTGTATGGGCGGTGAGGCAGTGGCACAGGTTGCCACACAGAACTTGCAGATGCCCCATCCCTGAGAGTGTTCAAGGCCAGGCTGGATGGAGAGCTGAGCAATTCAGTCTAAAAGGTGTCTCTGCCCATGGCAGAGGGGCTTGAGATTAGATGATCTTTAAAGTTCCTTCCAACCCAAACAGTACTGTGACTATGATTTTAAGGTCCAACCTTTCTGAGCAAAAGCATAGTGTAGACAAGATGACCCAGCACCTTGTCCCAGCCAAATTTTAAGCGTTCAATGTTGGGGAAATCTACTGCTTCTCTGGGGACATGATTTCAATGGCTGATTATTCTAATTGTACAAAAATTTTCAATTGTGTCCAATTGGAATCTCATCAGGAGTAACTTGTGCCCATGACATCTTGTCTTTTCCATGTGACTCCTTGTAAAAGGAGTCACCATCTCCTTTGTAGCCCTCTAAATACTGGAACTTGTATTTTCTGATTTTATAAAGAAAGCCATTTTCCTTATATGGGGTCTGATTCAAATACCACTAAAGGCAAAAGAAGTCTTATTTTATTTCAGCAGATTTTGGACTAGGCATAAAGTCCAAATAGAAGAATTATAGAAAGCGTTTATTATTGTAATTGATATAAATGCACTTTTGATGCATCAGTGCTCTCACAGCATTGGTTAAAATGCTAAATAAAAAATTCTGAAAGAACTCTTCCCCAAACCCAGACTGTTACAATTCAAGTTGAGCCCTAGGTATATTTACCACCTATTAACTTTAAATAGTTTTCTCATTTTGGTCATGACACAAAAGCCCACACTGATGCACAACAGTATCTAAAGTAGCAGAAGCATACTCCTATCACAAGTGGTGAAATTATCATACACGTGCATTTCCAAAAAGAGTTGTTCCTTCATGTTTTTTTCTAAGTCTTTGATGGTTCAGTGATATATCACAAATACAGTATTTTCCAAGCAATGAGTAGGAGCTAGATTTTCACTGAATTTTCTTTAGCACTGATGAGCTTAGACATCATCAAATATTTTACTTCGAGACATTGACAGGTATCTTCCACCAGGCTGGTACCTGCAGAATCAATTTTAAAAATGAAAAAGTGTCACAGGAAACAAAAAAATGAAGACCCATGAAATCATCTAACTCTCATTGCAATCTTACTCCTTAACTCCAGTGAATTACAGGCTTTGACGTTTTACTGAATTAACTTCCATGAGAATTTGAAAACCAGTCATAACCTCATGTGACCAAGAGAAACAGTTATATGAATACTGGGAGTCTTAAAGAACTATGCTTCCTAAAACAAAGGAAAGAAGTTGGATGTTTTGGTTGAACAGGACTTTAAAAAAAAAAAAATTCCAACCACATCAACAACTAAGCAAACAAACAAAAACTCAAAACACAATTAACCCAAACAAACAACAGCACCCATAAAGTAGCTGCAGGTGCTTAACAGTACATCTCATGGGGTGCTCTTAGAAGAAATACAGTATCAAATTTAATGAAAACAAAAGCCTGTATGCTTAGTGGGAAAATAGAAACTTAACAAATTGTTGGTCAATATATTTTAGAAACACTTTAAAAGCACAAATAAGGTCCAACATAAGCACAATGTAGTTCCTTGCTGTAGTATTTACTAAAACCCAAACGAACACAAAGCCGGAACCTGGTGTCCTAACTGCCCTTACTGACCAAGAATGTTCTATCCACTGCAGGAGCTCTAGTTTTGAAAATCAATGTTACATAAGCTACTTCTGAATTATCTGGAATTCCATATGCAATTACTCTTGATTTACTACCTCCATGAAATGAAATTAAGATTACTAGGCGAAGTTCAACTAAGCTTTGAAGCTCCTGATTTTCTTTTTAAAGAAGAAGTTTAGAATGCTCCACTTTGCAAAACACGCATAGATGCCTGGAGACTTCTGATGCTGTGCTTGAGAAGTATTTGCTCCAGAATAACTACATATGCATACTCGTGTTTTTCAGTAGACAATCCCTTTCCCACTGCATAAAAGCCAATTGCTGACAGATATTCTAGGCTAGCTCCTCTTTAAACTCTTTTGCTTAAAAAGCCTCAGTTTTTCAAAAATGGTCACATGAGACTAAACCAGTTGTCTGAATAAACCTGTGAAACCTGGCGGTTTAACAGCATTCTTTGCATGTTTCTGAGCTGGCATTTGTTTATTGACATTACAGATGTAAGTCCACTGAAACAATTACTTTTTGTGACTCTCTTTAATTGGACAAGCTAGTTTTAGCTGCAAAACCAACGAATGAGAAGTTTTTATATGTGAATTTTAAATTATTTGTTATTTAGTGGTTCTACACCATAACCATCCTCCCCTCCCCCAAAAAAGCACCCATATAATATACTGTTTGTTTCTTACACATGAGCAGAGCTTAGCAGTTACATAAGGTATCTATAACCAAAGAAATCTGGTGTTGCAGTCACAGCCATGGAATCACAAAAGTCTCTACTACAGACAGAGATAAACAGTGCAGTCTGGTACTCCCTGTTCAGGAAGTTCAGATTTTAATTTACTTTAGTAGTTCCAAGATCTGATACCCAGCTGTATTCCTGCAGCAGATCCTGTAAGATTCAGTTTCCTTCCCTGCAGCCTTTACAAAATGGATTTTATACTGGGAAATCAAGTTGAGCTTTGTAGGAAATCTGGGAAAACCTTATATTGTACATCTGTCTGTTGAGGCATACACCTAGACCAGGTAGCTTGGTGTGCAGCTTCAGGCTGTGCCCTGGATGGCAGGAAAGGGGAGCCCTAGGCAAGGTGCCATGAACAACTAACAAAGGGCACAGAGACCTTTGGCCCAGTCACTTGGAGACCATGCAGGAACCAAGGGCTCAGCTGGAAGAGCCTGGATTGTGGTGCACACAGGTTGTGAGTAGAAGTACAGCTTTGTGTAAAAGCTCAGGGATTCTTTTGTTTGGGGTTCCACCAATTCGAGCTGTTAAGCTGTCACTGCACCACGATTAAAGCAACCAGATACCTGTGACTCTGCTACGGGAAACCTGTGGTCAAGCTGGAAAGGGAAACTTTTCTGACTCTTGAGTGAGAGTGGAGTGAATAGGGAGTGAAAGGGTCACTAGAGCTGCCTGTGGTAAAGGGGCTTTAGTCCCAGCAGTGAAAGTCTGGGGTGGCACAAGTGTGACCCCCCCAGACTGTCCCCAGAATGGTCACACTGGGATGTTTCCTTAACATGCAGGTAATTCGCCAGTTTTATATGCGGCATTTTTCAAATTATGCCATATATAGTGTTATATTCAGCTCAAATCTCACTCTGACATTTCTAAAAAACCTGGAACACCTTCAGGTTTAAAGAGCTTTTAAAAATATTTCCTTATCATAGGGGAAAAGGAAGAAAGGAAAAAAGATGAAACTATAACCTTCATTTACAAGACTCTTACTATTAAATTATTTGATACAGCTGTCATAGGTCAGAAAACAGAAGACATCAGAAACTTTTAACTGGAGATTACAGAGAGTATTCCTCACCTTCCTGAGTCCGATTCAAGGGGGTCATCACTAACAGAGTCTGCATTAAAATCCAACGGTTCTGCGTCCTGGAGGAGTTCTATTCTATCTCTTTCAGTCCTACCATTTGAACGGGTATACTTTGATAGTGCTGAATAAGTAAAAAGAATGAAAGACACTTATTTGCTTTGTGAACAGCCTAGAGTGTATGCAGACATCAAATTTTAAAAAATGTAAGAATAACAAAGCAATCTCATCCAAAGCAAAAGTGCAATAATTTAGAGTAGATTTAATATTAAACCAAAATTGCTCAAATTTGTAGTATTTAGGTTTTTGTATTTCTGTATCTCCACAGAAATGCAACTATAACTTTCACCCCTCAAACAGGTTGAGATCTACCTTGCAAAGAATCAAGGAAAATGAGAAACTACAGGTAAGCATTACTTTTAAATCACCCATCCATCCTCCCAGATTGATGCTTTAACTAAGCTGTTTGGAGGGGTTTTTTGTTCGCTTTTGTTTGTTTAAAAAAAAAAAAAAAATCAATTTCATGAATTAATGAAATAGGCGTTCTGCAGTTCACTCTCTGATCTTCACTAGGTCAGAACCTATGGCTTGTTTTAGAGTTGGAATGCTACATAATCACATGATGAACATTAAAACGTAATTTCAGTTAGTCTACCACGAAAAATCGGGTTTTCAACTCTGTACAGAGGAGGGAAAAATCTACCAGTGTTTTCTTAAAAGCATATTAAAAGCTTCCCTTCTCGTCCCCTTTTCCTCCTTTTTCTTCAGTTTCATTTTACTTTTTGTTAGCAGCTTACAAGAGCACAAAAAATACAGAAAAAATCATTCATATTCTGACAAAGTTTTTGGTAGTTGAAAGCATCCACAAAAAAGTATTTTGCTAATAGATATTAAATGAAAGTACATATACACGTGATGTTACATTTGTTGGTCATCTGATTGCTTCATTATTCCAATCTGAGATAGTTCATTTGCAAGCAGAAGACGTAAATTTTAAGATTTACAATACATAGCTTCAAGATGTATCATGAAGTTTCTTTGTTGACAACTGCTACTCTAATGGCAAGCATTATATATTCCATAAGACCAAGTAACTGGTCTGAAGAGTAGTCAGAATCTCTGATCCCAACTAGCTGGAAATGGAAAAAAATACAGTGCTCTTTTGAGTGCCTTAAATGGCAAGACGGCACTGAGCCACAGAAGTGAACATTATCACACAGCATCTAAGACAAAAAGGAAAATATTTGAAACTACTCTCACAGCCAGTGTTGTGAAGACAATGTACTGAAACAAAACAAAATGAACTTCCCCTCCAACCCACAAAGCTTACGTCTACTGGCATTGGTCTCTGAGAAGCTGGATTCTTTCTGGTCTGTGTGGACAGCTCTGCTTCTGGTGGAATCGTCTCTATTTCCATACCGCTCCTTCCACTCCTGGAAAAAAGACCATGAAGAAAAATGTTAGTTGGCAGGAAAAAGAAACACAACTGTTCAGTGTCTTAATACAGGAAAAATTTTTGTTTCGTTTTAAACTCAAAATGTGTTCCTTCACTAACCACTTATCATAACTGTTCTTAAGAAAAAGACTTTTAGAAAACAAATTGCATCTCAAATCTGCTCTCAAAGTTCAGCCAACTGCTCTAAGTTATGGTGGGAACTGCTGCTTTTATTGATCACTACTTCCATCTAGCGGTAAAATGGAAAAATAACGAGATTCACATAGAGCAGAAAAATTCGTAGCTTAGTGTCAGGTCATTTCAGCGTGTATTAAATGTACGATACACTTGCTATTTTGCTTCTCAATAAATTAATGTTTTAAAATTATGAGATGGAGGGAAAGGATCAAAAGAAAGGTCTATGCAGGACTGTCTGTCATCTAGGATTAAATTGTAACTGAGCTCGGAAAATGAAGAGGTTTTAGTCCCAGTACTATCTTTCATGCATCCTCTCATCTTTTATTGTGACTTTCTAGACTAGAATTTGTTATAAACTAGTGAAAAACTAAAGCTTCACAAATCTTTCAATACAATATGCGCAGAAAACATGAATTGAATCAAACATTCTGTTTGTTATTCACTGGAAACTATTAATTCTGTCTTAAATGTAATTCCCTCCTCTGGCAAAATACAAAATAGAACCTGTGCCAATGACTTTTCAATGAGCATGCAAAACAGCAAGTTTGAGAGGAGTCCATGTTTCAGTCCACGTTTCAACCCTGCAACTGCAGTTTTTTCAAGCAGAGCAGTATCAGTATAAGAGACTGGTAATAAACCATTTCAGATTATTCTGTATCCTAGAAATCAGGACCCTTTTTAATGCTTGTTATACCTATTGGCATACACCACAGAGTAACAATAGTGTCCAAGTAGTGCCATTAAAATTGTCCTCTAATCTTCTATAATTAACCCCCAGTCAAGACTATTACATAAGATTAAACTGATTCCATCAATTATTTGTGAGAAATTTTTTTGTGAAACTGAGTATCAGATACTGCAGTATAATACTATAATTAGCTAAATAAATCTCATACCCTTCTTCTGGTTTCACCTTCTTCCTGCCTCTGTCGTTTCCTTTTCTCTAAAAAGAGAAAAAAAACCAACTTTGTCTGCTCCATATAAGGAAAATAATTAGTGATTTTTAAAAATAAACAATGAAAATCTTAAGTTAACTAATTAAGATTCTTATTGAAATACAAGACACTTACAATTAAACAAAAACAAAACAAAAAGCTGCTTGTCTATCATTACGGAGTTTCCTATCAAAATTATTTTGTCATGATGATATCTTGGATCATAGCATAACATTTGGATACCAGCTGGCAAAGCAAAAAAAAAAAAAAATAAAAATCACACCATTAGAAATAATTGGGAAAGTATGATATCAAGAAAAAACTTCAGCATTTTTTAAATCAAGATCTTCATGAAATTCTTTGAGGCCCAACCTGTGACCCAAATACTTTGTGTCCATATGTATTATAAAGTTGGAAGTGTAACATTACAGTATCAATGTCATCATAACCTCTTATTTAAGGGAATGAAACTTTGATCTTTCTCAAAAAAAAAAAAAAATACTACTACTCTAAGTAAACCCAGGTTTTGTTTTTCATCAACTATGGGAATAAAAGTATTCCTAATACTGTATCCAGAAATTTTAGTTTCTAAACATTTACTCAAAAATTAAAATGGCTTTTAGCAACTTTTAAGAAACACTTTCAATAAAAATTAATATAAAATAAAAAGCTTTCCACACCAGCAGATAATTCCAGTTCTACATAATAAACGTGCTTTCTCTAATAAAGCACAACTAGTTGACATAGCAATAAAGACTGAAGGAAATGACTGAATTTGTGCACCTCAATCAACACACTTACAAAAGAAAAATTAGTTTGTTGATGATAACAATTGTTCATCTAACAATTTAGATGTTAACCATTCTTTATGATAGATTACACAAGCACCTGCTAAAGTATTATTTGATCAGTAACACACTGCAAAATATTTAGAAATATGTCTAATTCAGATACTGGATGAATAACACTAATACTTCACTTAGGATGTCAATGAAGTCCATCATGCATAGTGACCACAGCACTGTAAGTTTATTGCAGTTTGTGCTGTGGCCTTCCTCAGTACAGCTTTTAAAATACTGACAGACAGTATGCTTTTTTTTTCTGCAATACTTCAGAAAAACATAATCCAAAAATACATTATGTGATGAGGAAAAGACTGAAGTATTTAATGCCTTCTTTGCATCAGTCTTTAAGACCGAGACTAGGTGTTGTCTGGGTACCATGTTCCCTGAGCAGGAAGGCAGAGATGGGGAACAGAATAAAGTCCCCAAAATCCAAGAGGACATGGTCAGTGACCTGCTACACTGCTTGGACAGACACAAGTCTGTGGGGCCACATGGGATTGACCAAAAAGCACAGAGGAAGCTGGTGGAAATACTCACCACTTTCCTTTAAACTTTCAATTGAGTCACAACTCCATGTAATGCCAAAGGCTTGCAGCCTGTTGGAAAAGGACTTGGGAGTGCTGGTTGACAGTGGCTGAACATGAGCCAACGTGTGCCCAGGTGGCCAAGAAAGCCAATGGCACCTGGCCTGGATCAGCAATAGTGTGGCCTGCAGGAGCAGGGCAGTGACTGCCCCTCTGTGCTGGGCACTGGTGAGACCACAACTCAAATTTGGTGTCCAGTTCTGGGCCCTTCAATTCAGGAAAGACACTGAGGTACAGGAGTAAGTCCAGAGAAGGGCAATGGAGCTGGGGAAGGGTCTGGAGCATGAGTCTGATGAGGAACAGCTGACGGAGGTGGGGGTGTTTAGCCTGGAGAAAAGAAGGCTCAGGGGAGACCTTATCACTCTACAATTCCCTGAAAGGAGGGTGTAGTGAGGTAGGCATTGGTCGCCCCTTCCAAGTAACAAACAACAAGACAAGAGGAAATGTCTTGAAGTTGTGCTAGGGAAGTTTGGATGTTAGGAGAAAATTCTTCACCGAAAGGATTGTCAGTCCACTGCTCAGGGAAGTTTGGAGTCACCATCCGTGGAGACATTTAAAAGATGTGTAGGTGTGGCATTTCCAGAAATGGTTCAGTGATGAACTTGTCAGTGCTGGGTTAAGAGTTGGACTTTATCTTAGAGGTCTTATCCAGCCTTGATGATTCTACAGTATTATGATTTTACAGGAAGACTATGACAGAGGACCTAATTTACCTCTTCTGATCAGCTCTTTTCCTTCATCAATCAAATCAGAGGTCATTTCGCTATCACCCATGAACTGCTGGAATCCCAAAAGATTCAAACAACGAGTTCCTAAGCTGGTAAAAGAAGAAGCAATTTCCTTTGTTAATTTACAATTAGTAGTTTAGATACATTACAGAACAAAATGTAAAACAAGCTATTCAGAACTCTATGAACAATCCAAGTAAAAAGTAAAAACACAGAAGATGGACTATTATACCAGCTGAGGACACAGAAAATTCAGAACCCAGAACAATAACTGGTGACCCAGAACAGGAGGGTGACCTATGCGACCCAGAGCAGTAACACATTCCTAAATACAACTGGAAGTGATGGAATAACCCTTTTCAAACAGAGAAATTAAAATGCTCGTAGTCTGAGAGTAGTGCAAATGACACTTGCTTAAGATGCTTTTAACATTACATGCTTGCTTTAAGTGTTCTCAGATATAACAGAATTTGTACCTATAATATGTCATCAACTCTTCTTTGCCAGAAGACAATTACTACAAAAATTCTGCTTATTATTATTTCTGTGTTTTCGAAACAGCAATAGCATAGGAAATCCACTTTCACCTCAGGGGCTCACTCAGGAGAATGCATACTTTTAAGCTGTAGGGATGCTGGATGCCCTTTTGGATAGCCACTGGCAGCCATCAGACAGCAAGCTTGCTCCAGCTTTTTAAGCCAGTCCTGCATCTACATAGCATGAAGCCACTTTCATCTTTTCAACTTCACACCAGAAAACACAACTGCTGTTTTTGTAAGATTGTCCTTTGTCCAAACTGGAGTATTGATATATTTTTTCTTTATACTACCTTAAGACTTCTGGATTAAACACAGGAGACTCAGCTTGCCTCAACAGATTTTAATTCAACCTTTGCTTTTGCATGTATCTTAATTAACAGGGGTCATTAAAGCAACCCTCTCCCCTTTAATTTCTATTCTTCCTTTTCACTATGGCATTCAAAGTGATCATCATGGACAAGAGGTAACACAAATTTCTCTTTTCTTGTCACTGGCTTTCCTGTTTGTTGTTTGTTTTTTTAGCTCCATCACCACTTTCCTCACCTAATCTAAAGGTAAGGAGGGAAAACTCACAATTAGATACTTGGTGTCTTACTATCTATAGATACACATTTAATGTTAATGGACAACCAAGGCATTTTACTACATGCTCAGAGATTGCTTCTGACTGAATGGTAATGCAAAATATTAACATAAATGTAGTTCAGCAAGACCAGATTAAAAGTATCTCATCCCTTACAGTGCACAAAACCAGACATTTTGAAATTACAAAGCAAGAATGTAAGAGCATTTTCTGCAATTACCCTTCTAGCCTCCAACAAACTGTGACTTAGGGAAACAAGATCAAATTACTTAAACCAGTATACATGACCAGAAACTTGTTAACACATCAGAAACTTAAGTCTGTTAGAAAGTTCAATACCTAAAATTACTACTAGTGCTTAAATTATTAGAAAACTTCACTGAAAACAGCATTCTCATGGTAACTTTAATCTCAGAAAGAGAATCTAAATGTTCCCAGGCTCCAAAGTTTGAACAGATCACCCTTTAAAATCTAGGAATGAAGTTTAAATTAACTCATAACTGAGTTAACACAATCTATATTTTTTAAATGTACACATTTCACCTACATAAATAGCAATCTATGAATTTAGGTTCTGCATTTTTATTAGAATGACACAACTCATCAGCTGGAAAAGCAGTACTGAATCTCTTCCTGAATTAGAAGAAACAGATTTTGCTAATGTAAAGAAGCATGGAAGATCTACCTTACAAATCACTTACCTGAAGTATGTAGCAATACAGAGAATGACAACAAGCATTGGGTAATATATATAGAATCCATCTGCAATGAAGGACAGCACTCTCATGGATCCCATTATCTAGGAAAAACAATACACAAGAACAAGCTCTAATTAGCTATATTCTACAAAACCCATGAAGATTATGCCTTCTCACATAAATACACAATCCTTTACAGTAACTTTAACAAAGGCAGTATTATTACAGAACTGCTTGAGAATAAGCAGATGTAAAAGCCACCTCCCACACTCTGAGGTTTCTAAAATGCTAGATTTTGTAGTCTCACCTACTCTAGAACAAGGGCAAATCTGACAGATTTTCTCATCTTCCATGAAAAGTCTCTAGACAACACAAAGAATCTAGCTACTAACAACACAGAAGTGAGATGTAACTTGCCACAGAAACCAATTCTTCAATAAAACCAAACTCACTGATTTACAGTAGGAAGTTAGGATTGCTCCTGATCTACAGGGATGCCCTACATGCTAAAGCCAGTGAAAGCTAAAACAGGAGTTGATATTACAAAATGAAGAACACCCTGAACTCTAAAGTATAATACTTTACTTTCTTAAGAGGCAAAAAATACTCCAAAAAACTATTGATGACTTCTAAAAATTATTACCAAACTCCTTGCCTATAACCAAGTATTTTCACCCTGCTGAAAAGATTGAAAAGACTTGAATATCTGAATTCTACTATAAGATGCATTTAAAAATACTCTACCTATTCTCCAAACCACGCTGAAAACTCAAACCCACATTTTCTTACTTACAGATGTATAAGCAGTTGGCTGAGTGTTTTTGTGAGAGATTGTTGCATCCATATGGGTCAAGCCCAGAAAATTCAAGCACAACGGTGGAGTAAGACGGCAAAATAACCTGCACAAATGCAAGAGACAACAGCCTTTAAGAGTTTCTTACATTACCTACAAAATCATAACTGGATGCATCATAGTAACTTGATCTATTATAGAATAATGATGTAGAGCTCATTAGGAATTATACCTGTAAATTACAAATTAAAGAATGTAAATGGAAGCTTCGTGGATATTTTCAATTCAGTATTTGATAGAACTCCTGCAAAACATATACCAAATACTCACATGCCACTGAAAAGGAGACTGTATGCATCTGTCTGATGATGTGAAGCTAAGTAGTAATAGTTAAATACACGGATCCTGAAGACAGTAGAGTAAACACAGATACTTAGGAAAAAGATGGTAAGAAAACAGGCCATCTAGGGGAAAAAAAGTGTTGTTAAGTTGTTGAAATGTTGAACTCTATTAAAGATTTTAACGTGTTCAGCAGATAATCTGTCATATGCAGAGATCATCTCCTGCATTAATTTTTCATTTTGGGATGTGAGAATACCACCTGAGATATGAGAATACCAGTTTTTCAGAACAATTTAAACTAGAAATTATAACATTCTACACATAAGCTAACACAGTTGACCCTAGAAACATTCTACTACTTCTTGTTAATGTAAATAAAATTGCTGCAACTGCCTCAATAATTACTATGACTGATCTGGCATTTCTTCCCACAAAAAAAGGCATAAACCCAAGTGCTTTCAAATCAACCTTTCCTACTTCTACTGGAATTTTTCAGCTCAGTATCTTTACTGATAAATCCGTGCCAGCCACGCATGTGACTGGATTTCTGGTCATCTGCAAATTCCTGTTTAGGAAACTGAGGTCACACACATTGCTGATTAGAAAGTCTAATTAACACCTATGCTCCAAGATAGTGTTTTAGAAATTACTCTACCCATGATATTCAAGCAAGCTGGGTCATGACTTCACCTGGTATTTGAGAGTTTTAGCAAGTGGCAAAAGGCAGATTTCCTTCACAGAAACAAAGTTTGCTGCCATATATTTAGAGACCTTCTAAAGTTGACAGATTATTTAGAGATTTATTTTTAAATCTATTCTATCTACTGCTGTTATCACAACCATTGATCTGAAAATATTTTTTCAAGTGATTATCTCCAACTTACCTCTATGTATATATAATTATATGTCTTTTCTGCCAGCTGTATGAAAACCGCAAATAGCGACAGAACTGGTTTTGTGCTGAAAAATGTGCACTCTGACCACACAACAATTACAGAGAATGTGGCCAGCACAACTGCAAGCACTCTGTAAAACCATGGTCGGAGAAGGCATTCCCAGTACCACTCTGGAAAAAACAAACACACACACATATCCAGAACAGGTTAATGAAAGTTACACAAGCAGAAACAGAACTCCATCACAAAAGGCTTCAAAGTGTGCTGTTGCTTTATTGCTACCAAATCTGTAAATAAAACTGAGGCTTATAGCCAAGAACTATTCCATTACATAAACACATTAACATTGCAGACTTGCTTCACTCTGCTGTTCCTGAACATAAAACACTTGGGTTTTTTACAGAATGGTATCAGTTATGCCTTAATATACTCAAAATCTGCAGGACAGCACTTACCAACCGTTGGTGTGTAGAAATACTGAATAATTTTATTTTCTGGTTCCTGGGAATGAAAGGTATGAACAAACTGTCGAGTTGCACTGCTTTCATTTTTTGCCACATCTTCCAGGTAAAATGCTTGCTCTAGAAGAATTTGCCACTGGACCTGTGTACGACGATGTCTCTGCACTGAATAGATGACCTACAATAAATTGCAAGAAATTAGGGTTACAAGGTACTTGTTTCAAAAAATGGCATAAAATCCTTTCAAAATCCCTTGAAAATGTGTAGATTGCAGAACTGCAAAGGCTGTATCTTCAAAAAAGCAGGTAGTTAATTCTCTGAATACATAAAGCATAGACGTACTACATACATGATTACTGAGTTTTGCAGCTCTTTCATTACAAACCATCTGTAGCAATTAAATCCTACTTTTCCCAACCTACTACTTTATTTTTGCATCTCAGTAAATATCAAGCTTTTACTGTAATTTCTTTTTCAGAATGCACTGTCAATCAACCACTACAAGGCTTATTCACAGAGAGCTCTAACACTATCAAGATGTAACACAAGAAGAACACTTTTTACACATCCAGAACTTTGATCGCTTGGGATATTAAATGTCTGTGCATTCTTTCACCTAGAAAAGTTTCTGTTAAGCAGCTTAAGCCCACTATACTCAACAATCCAGATAAAGTGCATTCAAAATCTTAGACCAGCACATACTACATTAGCATAAGTGAGGCATTCTCCCATCTATTAATATACCTGCTTGTGAAGTTTGGCCAAACTTTTTTCACTGGGATAACTGTTCTGTCTTTCATCAAAATCTTCATAATCATCCATGTTCCTACCCATTCTTTCCTGGTACTCAGTAGGGCACTGGAAGGAAAAAGGCAAATTAGCTCGGTGACAAAAGCAAGTAGCTTTTCCTAACTATTTGCAAAACTTTGGGGCATTCATGCAACTGAAGAAAAAAGGAAAATTAGCTCGGTGACAAAAGCAAGTAGCTTTTCCTAACTATTTGCAAAACTTTGGGGCATTCATGCAACTGAAAAGCTCACTCTAATCATACATTTTTCTCTCTTTCTACAACACTATGTCAAAATACATCTGATAATTACACACGTCATAAGAAAGTATTTCACAAAGAATTTCAACTCAGTCTCAACAGAAACTCAGAAGATGTCAACTAGAGATTTTATATTAAGAGGAAAAGAAAGTAATATACAAGTATTGTGTATGTGCAGGAAACACCTCCTCTCAACTGAATAATTATGGTTGAAGATAAGCAATCGGTTACCTTTTTCAGTATTGTATCAACACATTTCCTCAAGGGGTGATTATATTTGATACTCTCACTTACTTTACGGACTTCCTATTGAGAGAAAAAATATCAGAGTAGTTTAACTATGCTAAATTAAAAATGCTAATTAAATAAGTTTTTCATAAACTATGAATTTTTACTGATCAAACAGAGTTGCAGCCCTCCCAATTGGAAAAGATAGTCATCAAAGCTTAAAAAAATAGAGCTTCCTAAAAGCTATAGCTTTACTAAATATCTCATAAAAGGTAAGTGAAGTATTTGTAAAGAACACTTATGCATTTTTTAAAAAACGAACAGGAATGTGCAACACAGCTATACAAATGCGTGGAGGATTTGCTTCTATGCAGGAAGGCTGAAATGGAAAAGACTTTCTTGTTTAAGTTATAGAGGAAAAGGAGATAAAGAGTAAGTCCCACAGACTGACTCAGGGCATTGACCATGTCTTTAGGAAGCCTGTTCCAGTGTGAGACCATCCACCTTACCATCTGTGGTAAGGAACTGCTTCCAGTCTGGATGCAGCTCTGAACCACCCCCATGCATCCTGTCACTGGCTAGCAGGGAAAAGAGATCAGCATCTCCCTCTCCAGGCATCTGAAACAATGCTCTTAGTAATTTGCTTCAACTTTTGGTCAGCTCTGAAATGGTCAGACAGCTGCATCAGATGCCTGTTGCTGGTCCCTCCCAGTGGAAATATTCTATCTAAGTGCTATCCTGGTAAAAAAAGTTGTCATTGCTCACTTTCTAGTAAGTTTTGTAGTTATGCTCCACTTAGACGTTTTTAACTGTTTCAGCAGTTTCTTCAAAATGCTATTACAGATGAATGGAGACTATTACTAATTTGTACTGACACATAACACCAATTTCCTCCCTACCCTACAACAGTTCACACGCATTATTCCAAGCCATTGTAACTCAGCAGAAGAACCAGGAATAGCTCTTCAAAGGGCTAGATTTCCATTCTGTTCTTGAACTACATTAGAGCCTATTGCTCACTAACATTTAACAATAGTGTCTAAAAAGAAACTTTGAAAAAAACAGTTATCGATATATACTCTCTTCTCAAAAACCACGTAAGTATGGCCCCACAATTTGGAAACTCTTCTCAAGATTCCAGAAATACACTACAAGCAGAGCATAAAAGTGGTACACAATTTGAACACTAGTGAAACATCTGTACACTGAACGTTCAAGCTCATTCTGAAATGTTATTTGTTAGTGACCAGTACTGCTCCAAAAGGGTTAATAAAAGAACAGACTCAACAAACAACGTTATCAAATTGCTATGAGTTTTAAGTTCTGTTTTGAGTCTTGCACAGGATCGAGTGTTATCAAGTGGCACATTATGATAATTTTCTTAGTTTACAGGTATCTTAACAGTATGGTCATGCTGCAAGTGTCCAACTCCAATGAACTCAGACACAACTAACAGCAGCCTTCACTTTTTTCCACAGGGAAAGCTAGTTACTTACCTCCATAATATCCTCTAAATTCTCCTCTGCATCTGCTTTTTCAGTCATCAGTTTGGCAGCTTTGAAGTAAGTCTTCATGAGTAGATAACCCCTCTTGGCTCCATTCCAGTGAGAACGAGGGATTTCCACCAAACCATAACCCAAAAGCAACACAAGAAGGAACAGACCCCATGTGTTTGCAGCAGCTATTCCAATAGTCTGAAGCTGGTTCCTGAGGAAACAAAACAGTATAAAAAACTCAAATAAATAACATCCTCCTACCCTGCCTGCAAGAAACCAGCCTTTAAGTATCAATATGTACCAATATGGCTTTCAAATTTACAGGTTTTCTTATTCACCTAAATTTTTGCCTGAAGCCAGATAGCTGCTTGGCCATATTGAAGCTGCCACAATTTTCCTGTATCTCTCATATCCTGCCCACTAGGAAGGGAAGAATTTATTTATTTGCTCTCAAAGAAACTGTTCTCCTAAAGCAATACATTCCCTTAGGTAACAACATGAACGTATCAAACTTACTGACAGTGAGGTCAAAATAGCACAATGGCAGTCATTGTAAGAAACAGCCTCAGAACCCAGGATTTGTCTTCAGAATATTGTGTTCAGAAATTTGTACTCAGATTTCTATTCCATCTGGTATGGAAAACTATAAGCAATTTATAGATGTTAATTATTTTAACTTTCCTCTTCACCTTTAAAGTCTACAGCATTCAGACGCACTACACAGGAATTTTTTTGAAACACATTGTTCTGAAAACACTGAAAGTTACTAACTTTGCAAATATGTTTGTATGGAGAAAAAAGCACCATTGTAAATACAAGAGGACTCCTCTGCTGTATACACCAAAATCAGAAAACCAAACCCCAAATCTCTATAAATATTCAAAAAAGCCCCTTTCACATAAAAAGTTAACATAACTTTCTAACTTTCTAACAAAATATTATAATTAAAACTAGTTGTTTCAGAAAGACCCATTTCATCCACACAAGAAACTATCCATGACGTTTCTGTAAGAATTCATGGAAGTGTTTACAACATTATTCTTACCATTGTAAATTGAAGTTTGGGTTTACAGCCACATATATTAGAAACGCTCCAAAAATCAGCAAGTAAGTGCCATAATAGATGGCATTCTCAATCAAAGCAGTTTTAATCTTTCCAGTGATGGAGAACCCTCCTGATCTAGCATATGACTGCATGAAAGGTAGAAGAATCCTAGGAGAAAAGAAAATAAAACAAAACATCAGTCAATCAAAACAACAACAAAAAAACCCACAAAAAACCCACCAACCCCCACCAAAAAAATCTCCCAAACACCAACCCCCCGGAAAAAGTACTTTAGCAGTGTCAGGTTACTGAGGTAGGGGTGTTAAAGTTTTAGACTCCAAAGTTTCTAAGAAATTAGCCTACTTAGATGTTTTTATTCTAGATGTACCTGTCTGATGGCAAACCTTAAACAAGCTGCAGATAAAAACAATATAGTTAGCTTTGCTATGAAAAATCTGTGATAAATAAGAATGAACTACCAACCCTGATATCCTTGAGTAACTACAAAAATAATTATCTGACGACAGGTTGATCAGAAGCCACACAAAGCACAGACAACCCAAAACCCCATAGACAAATCCTTTTTCTGTGGCTATATCTAGAGCTTTATGCAATATATCCGATAAAACCAAGTGATTTACAATATTATTCAAAAATCACCCAAGTTATTAATGGAATTCTTTTAGGATCTGCCTAAAACCCTTTTTTTTTTTCAGACAATCTATCCATAAACACCTACATGTGTAAATTGCTTAGTTTCAACTACAGAAGTGAACCAAGGGTAAACGGCTGCCACCTGAAATTTGCTTCCACAGAAGCAAGAAAATAAGAATATGACTGAATTAGTACAGTAATTATTACAAAAATTTCACTACTTGCAAATAATATACAATTTAAAAGTTCTTTGCCATAGTGATACATATTTTTAAAGAATGCTATGACTATTAATATAATCTGCTTAAAAACTATATCACAGTCTTTGCCATGTTCTTTTGCCTTACTTACCATGTTAAAAACTGAGAAGTCCAATATACAACACGCCAGAAAATTGGCATGATTCCATCAGGAATATAACTCCAGGGTTTGAAACATTTTTGCTTGCTGTTACAATGTAAAGAAGACTTTTAGTTGCAGAGCCCTAAGTATAAAAAGCATCTTCTCTAAATCCCAATCTAGAATTCTAAAGTCTTTGAAAAGAACTTAAAAGTAGTACAATACTATTTGAGTACACAGTCAATAATCAACCATCTCCCAAACAAATAAACTGAATAATCACTTAGAAATATTTATCATTTTCATAACCACAACTAATGCATTTAGACAGGACATCTTTCTTAGAGGAAAAAAAAAAAACAAACAGAAGCCCCAAGACTGAAGAGAACTATTAAATAGAGCATTTTAAGGCGACAGTTTTTGTTTTTCAGTAGTAATTATTTCATTCACTAAAAGAACACTTATTTAGGCAGAGAAGCATTAAACTTTAGTTAGTGAAGCAGGTTTTTAAAAAATATCTAGGCAAATTATGATCTAGAGCATTTAGTCATACAAAGAATGTATTAGTTGTTTCTCCTGCCATCCAGCTGGATTAAGTCAGTTTTATATAAATTTTGATTCAGTAAGCCAATGCTCTTCTGACAGGTAGTGCTCACTACAGAAGATCAAAAAAGTTGTATGAACCCTTTCAGGGAAAAAAAAAAAAAAAAAAAAAAGACAAAACAAAACAAAGGAAAAGGTGTCCATCTACACTAAGGCAGTTTGGGCTTTTTTTCCACACACCTGTCTGGGTAATGAAGCAAGGCTGAGTCAAGGGGCAATAAAGTCAACTTAGATAGGATTACCTAAAGAGAAATAATTGGTGTTTTCCAGGGTCCAACTGGTTAAGCCTGAGTTGTAAGTTTTTATGTGCACAGCCTTAATATTTTCAAAACTACCAGCTTAAGATAGAATGACAGGTAGTATGACTAAGGGTTTCAGCACCTCTCCTACGAAAGGTGCTGAAACCTTTATGAGAGGCTGAGAGAGTAAGGGTTGTCCAGCCTGGAGAAGAGAAGGTGCCAGGACACCTTATAGCACCTTCCAGTACCTAAAGGGGGCTTATAAAAACCCCCCTTTTTATATGGGCGAAGTGACAGAACAAGGCGCAATGGTTTTCAACTGAGAGAGGGCAGGTTTAAATTAGAGATTAGGAAGAAATTCTTTACTGTGAGGGTGGTGAGGCACTGGCAAGGTTACCCAGAAAAGCTGTGGATATCCTATCCCTGACTGTTCAAGGCCTTGTTGGATGGGCTCTGAACAACCTGGCCTAGTGGAAACTGTCTCTGCCCCTGGAAGAGGATTGGAACTGGATGATCTTTAATGTCCCTTCTAACCCAAACCATTCTGTGATTCTATGAAAAAAAGTTTGTCTGAAGCTATAGGTAAATTGGCAGGTTGCTGAATAGTTTTCAAATTGTGTATATAATTAAATAAATTAATTAACATCCACTGGGTGGTCTAACGCATAATGTGCAATATTGTGTGATGGTAATTTCACCATTTCTGCATTCTTCCAGGCCCCGCTTTGGGGCAGCAAGACTGGCACTACTTTGCACAGACGTATCAGCTGGCATCTTAAAGGCTCTGATCATCTTACAGGTAACTGCAATAAGCACATCAACAGCACAGGGAAACAGCCAGGGCAGGCTACTGGATGAGCAGCCACAGAAGTAGACTAATGTGGGCTCTTTCTCCATGTTTAGGGATTACTTTCTTCCTGTCAGGACACAACTAGCAGGCTACCATTACTTTAGTAGCATACAGTACATTTCAGATAACTGCAATTACTATGTATGTGTAATTGTACAAAGCAATTAGATATGCCCCTGACATGTAAGACAAGCAGCTAATTTCATTCATATGGTAGAAATTAAAGGTATAAAATTAGATTTTCAGGTTTAAAGTATTTAAGATTGTAAAGGATAAGCATTCATCAAAGTCTCTCCTCATAACCAGAACTTCACAAAAAAGCTTAGTCCTATTGCTTTAACAAAAAAAAGAGGAAATCTAGTGACACAAAAAAAAGGATAGTTGGGTAATCAGCTAGAACTACTACATAATTACTATGTAATTACTCCCAGCAGATAAAGATCCACCTTTCATCACCTTTTCCCTCACTGTCTTGTACATTTACAAACTTCAAATTCTACAGCACACAGATAACACTAATTTAACAATGTTAAAAACACAATATGCTCCTATCATTTAAAAAAGAAAATCATAAAATACAGTCTAAAGAAAAAAACACGTAGCTCATACCTTGGAGCAAGGGTAACGTAAGAGCCATTACTTTCTGCAGGACTGGAGTTAACCGCAAGTTTGCATCGATTATAAATAGTCTAAAAGACAATTTATTTTATATCAATGACCAAAGAGGTATAATACTTATTAAAAAGTAGTAAGTCGTATTTTAAAGACATTTCCTGTACTCCAGTTTTACATTTGGAATTAATTATACCAATAAACATTCAAATCAACATGCAATCAGCAGTCAAGTAAAATACTGAAAGTGTCCTTATGCCACCTAAATAGATTAAAAAATCGTTATAAACAAAGAATGAAATTTTAAATGTTAGAAATAGATTTGTTATCTGATAAGACCAACAAAATATAAAACTAATTATAAACACAAGACATTGTCATGCTTAATTTATTAAGCTACTACATGGAAGATATCTTTGATGTTTCTAAGAGATGGTCTTTTGCAATCATTTGGAGAAGTACCATACACCTTTGATGCAATTAAGCAGGAAGTCCTGCATGTTTCTTACCGTGCTGACATCCAGAGGCAGTATGAATACAATCAGGAAGCAGAGATACCAAGCCAATAACGTTGCTATGATCACCAGCCTATGCTGTTTCTTGAAGTCTCCATACCGGTGAAGTAGGAATAAGGCCAGGAAAAAGACAAACACTATCTCGAGGCCCAACGCTGCACCACTCATTGTTAAATGTTGGCTCCAGCTACGCTATGCTCACTTGGGAAAGCAGATCAGAACTGCAAGACAAAAAGACATTTAAATAAAATCTCTGGAAGATATTTACACAGAAGAGTAGTTCAATGGACAGTTTAAAACATATTAACAAACTTTTCATACTTCATTTGACCAGGATTCTTATCAGACAAAACCAAAGATTTTCAGCAAGGTGTCCCGAAGTCCTCTGAAGAAATCAAAATATGTCATGCCAATGCTGTCATTTCCAACAATGTATTAGGACAACTCCTGTTCATCATCTTGATATACAATAGATCCAGCAGGCAAATCTCTGTCCTTAGACTACTAGCCAAACTTTAGGTCCAGCACAAATTTCAAGATGAAAATCTATGCTGCTCTTTTTTTCTCCCTTTTAGAAGTAATCAACTAATTTTTACAGAGGGTTATATGTTTAAATTAAATGCTTCTGTGTAGCTAATGAACAACTTTTAAATGGAGCTCAAATACATATTTAAAGTCTGTACATAAGAGTTACTAGAGCTTAAAAACACAGCAACTATGTGTTAGTCTACTTGTAATGCACCTCTTTTACGTTTGAAATTTCAAGAATTTTAATTCACCTTCCTACTCCTGCTGCGCTATTTAGAGAAACAAGGGTCTCAATTCATTCGGTATAGGTTGCCATGATGTATTTTTGCTTTGCTCGTCCTTCTGTGTTTAGTTATTCTGTTACCATCAGGCTGCTCTAAGAAAGTTCATACAGCTTCATACAGACAAGCTATTATGCAAAGGGACAGTGAGCTGCATAAATCCACGACAGAAAATTTCACTGACTTGTTACACTTTTACTTTTTTATTTAAACTGCTTTAGACCTTTTCAATAAGCATCACTTTACCACAGGTATTTTATGCATTAATAAAAAAAAAAAAAAAAAAAAAAAAAGTTTATTGCTGTGGCCAGTCTGACTTGCCTCTCCATCAAGATTAACATTTAGCTGGTTTAAGTGAAATTGTTTTTGCCATGGCTTTGCTGTTAAGACTTCCAGTACTTCCACTTTTCTAGGGATTTAAAAGAAATGCTATTACTGAAATTCCCCTCTACTTACTTTTAAATCTTTTCAGAACTTGGTAAAGTCAGCCATTTCTTTTACTAATTTCTTAGTAAACTGCTTAAGCATATCTGTTATACTTGAAGGCACTAAGCAGTGAAAACTCTCTTATTTACACTAAAAAACTCTAAAGTTTGTGATGCCATTACTACCTTGAGGACACAGAGGAACAATTATTCTTTGACTTTTTTTCCCCGAATGAAATTTCCCCATTTTCTACTTTCAGATTCGAATTTCAAACAGTAAGAGCAGTCTGTTTACTCTGTATTGGCTGTGACACAGAGAATTCCGTATTCTGAAAATAACTCGAGTTACCTTCCTGTTTCTAGTCAAAGATGCACAGCTTTTCTTTTCTGCCTTTCCTCAAACATGTTTATCAAACTATCAACACTTCCACTAGGACAAACCATCCCCTTACTATCTGTCTGTAGTCTACTTTAGATAGATCCTTTGTACATTAAAAACTCAGGATATTTCTCACCCATTTCTCAACTACTTATTTGAAGCAAGTCCTTGACTGCAGAGAAGTCTTTTCAATTTACAGTCTACCAGCAAATTCTACAGAAGCAAAAATAACAAAACAATTAAGTATCAGCTTCACTAAGGCACTGCTATCTGGCATGTAGCTTTTCGTGCCCATTACAGCCACACCTTTTGCTACGTAAACAAAAAAATTATACAGCATACATTTCATTAGTCACAAAGTTTTATTACAGTCACACCTAAAAAGCTTCTACCAAAACAGAAGGCAGAAAGATTTTGTGCAAGATGCTGCACTCAGCTACTATCATGAGGGTACTTCCAGAAGTATTATAAAAATGTAGTGCATATGCTAAGTAAAGAGGGAATTGATTTCTACCACAACTTAACTCACTTTCAAAGACAAAACTGACTTTGCAGTTATCAGTAAACTGTATCTTTATGTTCTTACCTGGACCCTATTTTAATCTCAAAACAGAAAAAGAAAGGCCTGGGTTTTTTTTAAAACACTGAGACTAAAAACAGAGCTGTTTTGAATTAATGTACACACATTTTCAAAATAACAGTTCAAAATTTTTAGATAGAAACCATTTAAAACCAGCACATAGAGGGATTAAATGGAAGAAAACTCACGAAGTGAGAAATGCAATGCTTGAGAGGAGCGTTTCTGGTGAACTAAATCCAACCCAACCGTGCAGACATATCTGGGACCTGTGCTACTAGAATCAGGCCTTAAAATACATTACTGCAGGCTATAAAGCCATGCCTTCCTGTGGAAAGCAGCATTTGCCACTGAAGCTGGTTGTTAGCTCAAAGAAAGGTAAGCTCCTTACCTATCACCCTGTTTCATCTCTTTATTTAGACAGCCATCTCACTATTGGCATACAGCTACCTAGTATCAGCTGGCTGAAATTCCAGAATCGCTAAAAAAACTGTTGTCCCGAAATAACTACTTCAGAAGAGCTCTTTTGCACTGTACAATCTACGACGGTTCAGAAGATGCTCCTATTAAAGCAATGACAGAGTAACAAGAGCCCTCACCATGAATGGAGAAGTATTTATTGGCATACTCAGTTTCTGAACAACCAGGCAATTACAGATTAATACAAATAAGATTAAAAGCTGAAAGACTGGCACAGGAAGCACAACTTAACCAATAAAATACAAGGACACGCTCTTATGTTAGCTTAGGATTTTCCTGCTTCTTTTCAGACATAGAAAAAAATCAGTTAAGTTTTTTATTTTACCCAGCTACTAACACTGCACACATCATGAAGGGCTCAGTTCAGCCTTAATTTCCTTTATATGACAGACTCCCTACTATCAACAGTATTAAATTACCCTGCCAACCTAAGAGTAACTGCACTCATGACATCTACATTACAAATGAACTAACTACTCTGCCTAGTACAGAAATCTCAAATTACTAAATGAAACAGCAGAGAATGAAAAACCCCACGCTTTCATACAGCACCAAATTTAACAAAGACACTCCAATATGGTATTCTTTAAGAAGGGCTAGAAAGAGTTCAGCATATCTGTGAAGGATTCCCCCAGCCTACCAGCAAGTGCCTGAGGAGGCCTAACAGAGGGTAAACACTGCTCCACACGCCTTACTAAAAAGTATAAATAGGAATAGGATATTTTCTGCACAAATTCAGCTTTATTAAGGCCTCCAAATTCTCTCTATCAAGGAAACATAACACTACTTGTCTATCCTGTATTTCTGTGGTTGACTGCTCCTGCTTAACACAGGCATAAAACTGCTCAGCAGTACCTGTTTCCCCCTCAGAAGTTTCCAAATCTTTAAGGTATTTTGCTTTACACTACCACTTTCAGAAAGACCGTAAATCTCTCATAGTTTTGTGCCTTCTATAGTTTTAACCATCAAACTATTTCATTAGAGAAGCTCTGAAAACCATTACAAGTATTTGACAAAGGAATGGCCTCCTTAGCCACAACAGTGGTTCTTCTCAGCTTTCTTTCCCAAGCAAAAACATCCTAAGGAACAGAATCAAAGTCCTACTAAGTAATATATAAGATTATAAACTGATCCTCTTTATACAGTAGGTCTATCAGTCATTAATGAACTAGATTAGGTAACTTCAATTACTTGTTTTTGATAAACTGATGCTGTCTTTTACCTATTATACTACATACTTACAAATAACGCCAGAATTTTTTTCAGGAATTCAAAAAGGAGTCTGCCAATCTGTAGCTCTGCCTGTCCTTCAAACATTACTAATAAAGACAACCACCATGCCTCTGTTTTTCCTGTCTGGTACCTCAGACATTTCTAGAATACTAAAGACTTTTTTTTCCCCTTGTTCTTCAAGCATTCTCAGGTAGAGACCAAGCAGATTTGAAATAGCTGCATTTCTAGACATTTTGGATATTTCAGTTGAAACATGTGAAAAATCAAGCAGCCTTATTCTGTATTTTTAAAGATCAAAATTACATCTGAAGAAAACCTGTCACCAAAAAATTTGCCGAACTATGGAAGATCCCTTCCAGAGACAGTCAGGGACAGAACTGAGAGCCTTAACATACCAAAAAAAACCCAAAAACATCTGGGCAACAGCATCTCCTACTTCAAGCTGAGTTCACAGCTCACCTGCAAGTACAAAAGTTGCCATCTCCAGCAATATATCAATAGCCAGCTCACTGATGACCTTCTACTTTTATGTCAGGGCACAATCTGCTAATTCTTATTGAGATTCTACCAGCATATTTCACTTGACAAAAAAAGCCTCAGAGTTTGGTTTCTGAAGCCTGCCCTGCTTGGCAAAATTATAGACTTGACTCTACAGACATGCAGTAGTAGACTACAGCCTTTAGTACTGATAGAACTGCCCCATACTACGAGCCCTTGACGCTTTCATCTTAAAACAACAAAATGGGCTAAGTTACATTTCAGAACTTATAAACAGAGAAGAGCAAGAGTCAAAACAACAGCAGAAATAGTCTCTTCAGCTATTTTAATATCCCAGTCTGCATAGTGTGTTGTGGGAATTTATTTTAGGTTGGTTTCAGATTCAGGGGAGGGGGAGCATCCTGGGTTTTGTTTGGTTGGTAAGTTTGGGTTTTTCTGTTTACTTTATTATTACACACTGGCCCTAACAGCTTGGGGAAAATATTAAGTATTTATAAACATACAACAAAGAGCTGCTTTATCTTTATTCAGTGAGAAACTATCTAAAGAAAGAAAATAGCCCCAAACTGCCCAGGAAAACCAACCAGAGAAATTATCTGAATCCACTATTTGAGAGAAACAACGTCTGAGATTAGTGAAGAAAGCAATTTGCATGGCTTTGTTCTTCTAAGACACACTAGTTAGTCTATATACTGACTGATCCTTTATTAGTACCTGTCAGCTGAACTATTTTACAATGATGAAAAATTTTAAATTGACTAAATGTTTAATTGACAATAGATCGATATTTAGGCAAACAAGTTTTGTATCTTCGAATTTAAAAAAAAAATGCTGTGCTGACACTACTCAAAATAGCAGTAGTCTCTGATTTTGCAGGAGATTAGGTTCCACTCAGTACTAAATGCAAGACAAATGCTTGATCAAGGAACATTAAGATTTTTGTGTTCAAATGCAAGCAGGGACCATTAGTACAAAACCATGGCAAGCTCATTTGCTTTACATGGTGCTGCCTTGTACTCCACTAAAGGATCACAGAATCATTAAGGTTGTAAAAGATCTTCAAGATCACCAAGTCAAATTTTTAATATATTAACCAACACAGAGGCTGAAGATTTCAAACAGTTTAGGGAAGAGTGCTGAAAACAAAACATAGAAGAAAATAACTCACTTATCGTAGGAACTGAAATAGAATCAAATACAAGCATTATACAGTTGCAAGCAGAATCTAAAAAAAGAATAGAAATCACTATCTGGGC